TGACCGAAATAAGTCTTCTACCGTTTCGCAGGAAGGGACAAAAAGGTCCCTCATATGCTTCTTGTACAATTACGAAACAAAACAAGTTTTTTTTTTCAACGAAAACTCAGTGAGTTTTCCTAAAAAATTTATTGCGCATATTCCGTGAATGAAAAGTTGCCGGGTCATGTCAGGTCAGGCTGCCACAGCAAGTTTGTTAACTTGACAGCTCAATCGATATTTATGCAATAAGACCTTCTCGGGTGACGATAAGACATGACGACACTTTATGAAGGAAGCTAGTAAACCCGGTAGTTTCTCCATAGGCGCGGGAACCGGGGGGAGGGGGCAGTGGTAGCAGCTTGCCCCCCCCCCCCCAACTCTGGGGCCGTGCGGGCGGTGCCCCCACAACTTTCAGACAGAATACCGCTCCTTTTTGCAAATGTTTTCTTTTTTTGTTGAAAAAGCCAAGGGATGAAAAATAAGTGGCCTAAAACCGGCGAGAAAACTATATTTGGGGGATCCTAGGTTGATCTCTATCATGGTGTGACCTCCCCCCCCCCCCCCCCGTCTAAAAGTAGTTCCCGCTCCCCTGGGTTTCTCTACGCTATTGAATCACGCTGCTGATTCTAGTAAGTATCTACTACACAACCTTCTCACATTAATTTTTCTTCGAGCGTTTTGGGGGGCCAAAAGATATGTTGGCCCCCTCTTTCAGGCTTTTTGGGCCCATGGCCCCGGTGGCCCCCTTGAATCCGCCAGTGGGGGCGGTGCCCCCACAACTTTCAAACGGAATACCGTCCTTTTTTTGCAACTGTTTCTTTTTTTTTTGTTGAAAAAGCCAAGGGATGAAAAATAAGTGGCCTAAAACCGGTGAGAAAACTAGATTTGGGGGGACCCTAGGTTGATCTCTATTATGGTGTGCTCCCCCAGTCTGAAAGTAGTTCCCGCGCCCCTGACTTTCTCTACGCTATTGAATCACGCTGCTGATTCTAGTAGGTATCTACTACGCAACCTTCTCACATTAATTTTTCTCCAAGCGTTTTGGGGGGGGCCAAAAGATATGTTGGCCCCCCCTTTCAGGCTTTTGGGGGGGGGGCCATGGCCCCGGTGGCCCCCCCCCTGGATCCGCCAGTGTCCTGACCTTGTTCTTAATCAATGGCCGCCTCCCTGGTGTCTGGACGGTTCTTCTTGTGCCAATACCGGCCCGCGTCTGCACGCAACACGTCACGTGACGCAACCGGCAGTCGGCCACCAGCGACGGCCCTTTATCACGTGATCAGCGGTCTGATGGCCGCACGCCCCGAGGGCAGAGGAGGGAGGGTCACACAGTCGCTCCTAAGGCGCTCAGCGCGGCTCGTAAAACCATCCCACTAATCCATGAGCTAATCGTTACATGGAGGCTCAAGAGACTTTTCCTATCTTTTATTGGGGGAATAATTGTCACGCATAATTGTTGAAGAGGGCGGTGGCTTGGCCTTTGGCCCCAATCACACATATTGCATGGGTGGCTTATGTCGCAATTTGTTGTAGGTATTCGTCGCCGCAAATATGCATAACGTTGTGCAATATTGTCTAAATCCGTCATCACGTGGTGCTTAGCACAGTACCTACACTGGAACAATTTTATCTGAAAAGGTATGAGCCAAATCGTCAGCAAAATGTAAGTTACTTGAAGAATTGTGTTATTTTCAAGGTTAGGAATAATGTTATCTAACCATGCATAGCTATGCGATTCAGGCTTGTCCCTGATGTTTATGGACGGATGAGCCATGATGGTAAGCAAGTGTTATAAATAAAATCCAGGAAACATTTGTGAAACATAAGTGATAAGATATTTAAGCATTCTTACTCATCATCAACTCAAAGACAATCAGTGAAAGGAAATGCGGTAAACGAGAAGCTGGACAATTTAGAAGGATTGAGACGAAGCTTAAAAACAGCTTTATATTTTGAAACAACTGTCACAGTACCCAAGATGCCAAGATAATGAAAATCTTATTCAGTAAAATATCCGTCTGACGACACCAAAGATAGAAATAATGGGATCTTGGAGTTTCGTGCTGTCGTGTCTTATGCGCCAAAGCAGCGACGCTCCCATTGAGACACAATAACGGCACAATTAACTGTCAGGAATATGTAGATCCCAATTATTGCTTTGAAGCTAAAATGTCAGCGACTATTGTGAATCTGTAAGTTATGTTCATAGTCATATTACCATGCAAGAAGCTGTCTACAGCTTCACTCATATTGCTTATCCATAGTGTCTCTCGACTCGTCTGTCAAAAGGATGGAACCTCATGATGATGGCTCATCTTGAATGACAAAGATTATCATCCCATTTAGAAGCAAACGACATGCAAATCGGCAGATTGCAGACACCGTGATCACGATTGTGACGAAACGGAAGGCCTCGGCGGAGTCTCTGACTCAGACAATGCACACATAAGGGTCGGCGATTTCGACCGGCATGGCGTAAAAGTCACACCTTACCGCCTTCAGGTGACCTAGCAGAAAGTCGTGACCCCATTCCCGATGAGACAGAGCCAGGAGGGGAGCAGGGATCAATAATGTCAGCGTGACTGGCCGCTGACCAGAACAGTCACGCTGACAAATTTGCCACGATGGACTCGGCGGTGTCACATGCGGCGTTCATATGGTCGTTAGTCAGGCTCACCGTCCGCCGGGTGTGTCCTGTGACCTTACCGCCACGTCTTCATCATCTTCGTCTCCTAAGGACTGACCGCCGACTGCGTGACGTTTCAAGGCTGCGCTCCTCCCATCAACGGACGCTCTGTTTTGCAACCAGTTTCACAATTGGCTCCCAAAACGGATATGGCACGACTCCGTCATGGAAATAAATTGAGAAGAAAACTTCTTAAATATGATAATCAAAATAAATTAATTATGTATTACAATTATGATACTAATTAATTAAAATGATAAATGTATTTGTACTTTATTTATGTGTCTATATCGTGGTGAATGCTGAATATATATGATACCGCAACATTTTGGATAGAAATAGACCAGTAACAGCGACACAAAGCTTTAGCTCTCCCTACACAGATAGGAGTACTGTTTGTAAGCGAGGAAGGGTTTCAGCACAGTAGTGTCTAAGCTTGTACCTATTCTGGTCGACCTCATGCAGACGTGGCACTTGCTCTAGGCGAGAAACCATAGGACATAATTGTTACCGTTTCTCTAGAGGAATAATTTGACTGGCTTAAGGGTTTGTCATCCCTCACAGTGTCCCGCAGTATAGTTGCTTAGAAGTTCAAATAGGCGTTTCACATTCATAAAGATTGTACTGGTGCGCCGCGGCTGTGCTTAAAAGCATTAATTTATATGCGATAAGAATTTGAACTGGGTATTGGACTTCAAAATAGCTAAATGCATGGGTCGTGTTGAGGGAGCACGTGCCACGTTGTGCTAATCGCCACCCCGCCACACGGCAGAGATGATACAGAGATGATACAGAGGATCCTTCGCCTGGAGACTGCAGCACGGCAGAGGACCTAACACCAATGCTACTGTGAACTGGCTTGTGAAATCCCAGTAGCTTTACAGCTCGATGTAAACTGTAAAGCCACTGGAATGGCCTTCTCAACTTTGTCATGGATGTCTATAAGCGTCACCCTGGCAGGCTGTACCTATAGGTATGACACCTGCTCAGTGCCAGCCAATGGTTTTTGTAGTAATACGATGCATTTGACCGACTAAATATCGTACCACGGCGGTAGTTAGCAATAGCTTTTGATTGATGCATGTTTAATGCAGGTTAAATAGGTTAAATATGTTAATCACACCAATTAGACCCATTGGCATCCGTCGACCATGACCTTTGATGAAACAAATAACCAATTCATTCATTCAAAGTTCACATGTACCGTTAATAGTTTTTTATCAGTTTTGGGATTTTGTCACACCATCATGCAACAAAATGTTTTGCGCATCAAGTATTTTTCTTGCTTTCTCATCATGAATCAAAAGTGTATAGCACAAAAACGACGACACATATACCTATGTACATCACCATGCTTCAGTTCGATTCCACAGATAAACTGTTTTTGTTGGGTGTCGCCATCTGCTGCAAATTCGTACGCTAGAATCGATGTAATGCTGAATGCGCGCACATGCACCGACGGCTTTATTTGTGAGCAATATGTCTTGGAAACGACTGGCCGGCCGCGCTCATTTGTAGGCATGCCCCGTTGAATCACAGTGACTTCCGCAAGCTGCACATCAGTTTCAACTGCGTCAAACCATTTCAATGAAAAATAACCGTTTAAATTAACGTAACGTTTGATAAGAAGCTTGCACCAGTGCACACACGGTCTAGCTATACTCGTATTCTTATGATAATAGCCCAGTCCAATCGATTGCGCCTGAAGGGTAACTAATAATATCGAGAAAGAGAGGTGGCCAAATAAGACAGCAATGAGCATGGTGCACTTATTTCAGTAATAGTGCAGGCGATTTCGACAGTACGGCATAGTCTGTCTAATGGTGAGCTGTCGACATCGGTTGCACTATTTCTGAACTGTGTGCATTATGCCTACATTTGGCCATAAAAGGTGAAAATATATATTAGCGATCTAAAGGATAGCTTTTGAGCTTGGTAGATTCTGCACTGTCAGAAATTTCGATGCTTATTCTGCACGCAGGCGAGTGCTTATTCCGCTTCCAAATTATGTGAGCTACTGAACAAAAAAGTGCAAAATAGAGGTCATCATTCCTTTACCCTTCTGAGGCCAGTTATGCGGATTGCTACGTTTTTGCATTTACGCATACAGTATTGGCGTCATAGGCATATCGGATGTTCCGTTTTTCACGCAGTCCACCCAGCCCGGAAGGGTCGGTGTTCGGCCGCCCACCGCGCCGCGGCGCCGTGACGGTGCACGTTTCCGCCCCTCCGTCTGTCGACGGTGGTCCCCCGGTCTCCCGAGGTCCCCCGGCCGGTCGGCGCCTCGAGGTCTCCCGGTGACCGCGTATAAATACTGCCGGCGGGCCGTGGACGTCATTCAGTCCGCGGTTCCCTGGTGACCCGACAGTAGCACACCGCCGACACACAGACGCACAAACACCCCGCCGCCAAGATGATGATCAAGGTAAACGGGCAGGCCGGCGCAGAAATATGACAACCGTTGGTCGCTGATGTGGTGCTGTGATCTGGGATACATTCTGTAATTTTCAAATTAATTTCTAGCTTCGTAATAATTTATTTTTTCTCCCTAATATCATGACTTTGTATTGAGTTGACATAATGTTTTTTTTTCTGGCTCTAGTGAGTTCGTGTATAAAATGGTCCCCAAAGTACGAATGATACCATTGATTGCCACTTGCACATTTCAATATTTTTAAACGAAATGATGTCGTGTGTTTGTATCCTGCCTCCTCTGAAAGTATATGCATCGTTCTGCGAACCACATGTGCGTCTTTATCGTTGCGTTCCTGTTCCAGGGCCTTCTTCTGCTGCTGCTGGTCGCCCTCTCCCACGCGTTCTTCTTCAAGTTCGGTGGCAAAAAGCACCACTACGGATACGGATACGGACATGGCCACGGATACGGATACGGCCATGGATACGGACATGGATACGGCCATGGTTACGGACACGGATACGGACACCGTTACTACTATCACCGGCCCAGCTACGGATACAGATACCACTCGTACGGATACCACTGAAGCTCCGCAAGTCCTGAGGTACCTCGGTAACTGTGGGTCAACTCGCTACCACATGACCAGTGACGAGCAGTGCAGTGACACGGTCAGTGCAGAAATCAGTGACACTTCGGTGGAACAAGGCATCAGCGCTTTCGAAGTACAGCGGTTTTCTAAGTGAATCTTTGAGCCATAAGCTAAGTGAGAGGTTCTGATGCATGCGTGTATCGACCACCAGATGTGACAATACTGGTGTAATGTTTCGGTATCCTACTTGAAATTCAACAACTTTAGAGTGGTAGATCCGCATACAAATTCGTCCCCTTGTATAGCAGGCATTAGCAGCACAGATGGATGGATAGTCGGTGTTGCGGCTAAAGTGTATTTATTTATGGAAGCGTGTCATAGATGTATTTGAATAAAATACCCACTAAATTATGACATGACTGTTATGAGTTAACCAGAAAACATATTTTTACAACAAATACATTACACATCAAAGGAAAACGATTAATGCCGAATCATATACAAATGGGTGCAAAGCAACACTACTGCAGTTAAAATTGTACAAGTTTTGACCCACGTGCAGGTGTGAAAGGGATTAAATAGGCACTATTCTTAGTCTTCACTAATTCCTTTAGAATAAAAGAAGACCATTCATGGTGTGTCAAAAGTGGAAATAGCCGCCCGGCTTTAGTTCGCCAGCCTTGTCAATAGATGGCAGTACCACAATATGGGTAGCGGATCGTGCAATTGACGTCAAATTTTCGTTATTTGCTAAGAATTGAATGGCGGATCTTTTCATGCAAGAATCAAGTAAATCGGTCCACAACTTTTCTAGCAACAGAGATATGAAGTCAAACACCCTGCCAGAGCGGCGGCGCAGCGGCCGGCGGCAGCCGTTACGCGCCGCCTGGGAGACTGGCGGCGCTGAACGGTTCCGAATTGGCACTGCACTAAAACCTGTTAACTGCTTGGAATAGTTATTATAGCAAAATTTTCATTCAACTGAGGAATAACCAAGGGCAGGAAGTATGTATGCTTGTGTGCGTACTATGTAAGCCAAGAAACTGCATTAGCAGATACTCGCTAATATTATATCCAGCCAAGTCCAAACGCATTCCAAGTGATGTGTTTCTGATGGGTCAACAATATTTATCGTTCGAGGGCGGATACAGTTTTAACAATAAAAAAAAAAATTTTTTGCACAGCTCTATTCCTTGAATAATTCTCTTCAACGTCTCATTCCTAGTTAAGCGAATTAGCCCACCCTGGTTGAATAAATAAGGCGATTTCGCCACAAGGTCGGGGAAAACCGACCGAAAACGGCCGCGCTCAACGTTAATTTGGGCATGCAGACTCTTAAAAACTCGCATTGGGCGGGTAGGGTTTCCCAGGTATTGGCTCCAAAACACCGTATTCGGCTCCCGAATACGTCCAAGTGACCCGCCTCGTTCCTAGTTAAGCTCTAATTAGATCAAGTGACTCATAGGGAGCGAAAAAGCGACAAAAAGCATGAATTTCCCTATGGCGGCGGGCTGCCGGGTTGCCAGACGGCGCACCGGCTATTTCCACTTTTGACACACCATGTCTAAACGAAAATCCGGCAAAGCAGTGATCACGACAGAAAGTGCCTTCCTCTTGAACGCTCTACAAATGAGATTCGTTTATGAACAGCGATATATAGTATCTACATAGTCACAGATCAACTAGGCTCAGGTCGTCAGGTCAGGTCAAGCAGCTTACTTTTAATGTAAGCACACGTATGCGCTACAGACACAACCAAAAACCATTTTATCACGCTACAATGCTTGTCACTATATCCCAGTGCCTAGGGAATGCTAACAGCGCAACGTACGACATTCGTATGATAGCAACACAGATAAGACACAGATAACACAGAAAGACAGGTCTAAGCTGACGAATGAAAGTTTTTGAACTATATTGAAGCTGACATGCTCTGACTACGTGTATACGGGGTAACTGACCGCAATGAATCTAAGAAAAATGCTTATCGTCCAGCCTAACTTGGCAAGAACACAGCCACATTGTAACAAACGGCCCACCCCGCTCCCTGGTTTCAACTGCAGCCTGTGGCGCCGCAACCATCGCTACTGATCACAGACTATTCCCGTTGATAGCAAATAGTGTGCGTCGAAACGACTCGAGCCGCGCTCACAACATCGCAACTAGAGGTGGCAAAAGGTGAAAATTTTGGGAACCAGACTCGAACCAGACCCGGCTGGATAGGTATTTCTGGAACCAGTCAGACCAGGTCTAAGTTGGAATTGGAGCCAGTTGGACTCGTTCCCCAAAAGTCAATTAATACAAACTATTTGTAGGAGTCATTAGTTGCATCATGTAAAACAGCCTTTTTCCCACTGGGGATACTCATGAGCAACAGTGGCATACATGAGCAAATGTTTTCTTTCAGTTCACTTCATATTTTGCAATCGGGTGTTACGTGCAAGATATATGGTTTATGGAAGGACCCGGTTGGATCCGTCAGAAATTTTCCAGGAACCAGTCTGGACCCATATGGGTCCAGACCGGTTCTTTGGACCGGGTCCTCGGGTCCACATTTTGCCACCTCTAATCGCAACGGTCGGCTGAGGTGAGCACGGGATCTCCCTTTGAGCAGCCGGGGCGGGCAACACTTCACTAAAAATAGCATAACTTTAACAGTTTATTTGAATGATCCGATCCGAAGGAGAGATGATACAGCAGCACTTCAACAGACTTATTTAACAGAACAGGCTTTTGCTTCTCAAATAAATGACGAATGCGTAGGCCAGTTAATATAAGCAGGGGTCGGCAAATGGTGGGACATGCCCAACTTGCGGGTAATGGAGCCCTCGACCGGGGGTAATGAGGGTCTCTGAGAAAGCCTCATCTTAGAATTGATGGCTCCCTTGATGGGACAGGCATCACGACTGTTTGGCCTCAAACTTCAAACATTAGTCCAGGCCGAACGCTAGCCGCCGCTCGTCTATTGGCGTTTTCATAGCATCTAACGTAAAGTGGGAGGGGCCGATCGGACCCCAGCCTCTCGGCCTCTGAACTGGAGCTTTTCAGTAAAAAACGAGCGTGCCACCCGTGATGATAGGAAGCCGCTGCTACCCAATTTTAAGTTCCATGGCCACTGGGTGACTTTCAAGAGGTCAATGTCAATTGTCGAGAAGATCGGAACCCGCCGTAACTTCTTGAATTCAGATTTTGTGGCCTACCATGATCCCAAGAAAGAACTAACAAGTCAACGGTTATTTGTGTCAAGGTCATGAAATGTTTGAGGGCAGGTAAAAAGAAAATGATCGGCTCGAGGGTAAAATTTTGTCGTGATCCGACGCTTTTTATATAATACCCGAACAGTCGCGGAAGGGTGACATTTCAGTAAACTTGGTTGTCTGGGTCTGGTAATGGGGTCTGGTAGGTGGGGGTAATGGCCCTGCCTGGCGCCCGAAAAGGGGGCACGACCCCGGAGGGACCTGCCGATCACTGAAAGAAAAAAGTTAGTGTTTGACAGAAAATGCGAGACATGAAAGGCGCTCGAGCACCCTGTCACTCCTAGAGTTCCCATAAAACATTTTTTTTTTTACTTAAGATTCTTAAGTAAAAAAGTGTTTTATGGGATACTTTAGGAGTGACAGAGTGCTCGAGAGCCTTTCATGTCTCGCATTTTCTGTCAAACACTAGGCTTTTTTCTTGCAAAACGACACCTCTAAATGTAAGCATTGGCAACACATTAACGATTCACCATTGTACATACGCCGCTTTTTCCCTACATGTTCTTCAGCGGCCAGCGAGTGGTCACCCCCCCCCCCCCCAACAGGTAGCGGGTTGCATGCAACAGGTAGCCCTGTTGCATGCGCCAAGTCTCTCTTCTTCTCCTATCTCTCACTGCTTCTGTAGAAGTCTTTATGACGTCATCCTTTCTCTCCTTCTCTTTTCCCTCCTCTCTCTATATCTTTCGAACAGTCACTCTCTCCCTCTCTCTCTCTCTCTCTCTCCTTCTCTCTCTCTCTCTCTCTCTCTCTCTCTCTCTCTCTCTCTCTCTCTCTCTCTCCTTCTCTCTCTCTCTCTCTCTCTCTCTCTCTCTCTCTCTCTCTCTCTCCTTCTCTCTCTCTCCTTCTCTCTCTCTCTCTCTCTCTCTCTCTCTCTCTCTCTCTCTCTCTCTCTCTCTCTCTCTCTCTCTCTCTCTCTCTCTCTCTCCCTCTCTTTCTGCTGTCAGCAAGGGATGAGCGAGCTATTTTATTCCATTTTTATTACATCATAGCTGTTTACACGTCTCCACAAATAAATACTGACACTATGCACTTAACAGTTACCAGCGATCAGCCAGTAATGCCTTCATCACATCGGACTAATTCTGCGGTTCTTAAATTGACCGTCGTCGAGATGCAAATAGCCGAAGCAAAGTACTTCCATTGTCATCTTCCGATAATCGATACCCATACAGTGAGTGATACAAAACACATAGCATGGATGAGATAACATTATTATCTCATCCATGCACATAGTGTCACACTCATCGATCAAATGCGTGTTCCGAAAATCACTACGGCCAAATGGCGTCGATGCCACACCGTCCCACCGAAGTGTCACTGATTACCGCACTGACCGTGTCACTGCACTGCTTGTCACCGGTAATGTGGTAACGAGTTGACCCACAGTTACCGAGGTGCCTCAGGACTCGCGGAGCTTCAGTGGTATCCGTACGAGTGGTATCTGTATCCGTAGCTAGGCCGGTGATAGTAGTAACGGTGTCCGTATCCGTGTCCGTAACCATGGCCGTATCCATGTCCGTATCCATGGCCGTATCCGTATCCGTGGCCATGTCCGTATCCGTATCCGTAGTGGTGCTTTTTGCCACCGAACTTGAAGAAGAACGCGTGGGAGAGGGCGACCAGCAGCAGCAGAAGAAGGCCCTGGAACAGGAACGCAACGATAAAGATAAATAGATGGTTCACAACGATCCAACCTATCAGAGCAAGGAGGATACAGACACACGGCGTTACTTCGTTTATAAATATTGAATTGTGCAAGTGGCAATCAGTGGTTTTATGTGCACTGTTGGGACCACTTTATCCTCACCAGAGCCAGAATAGAAGGGCATTATGTCAACTTATCACAAATACAAGATATCACGAAGAACAAAATCAAAATATTACAAAGCTATAAATTAATAAACAAATCACCGGGGATACGAGTATATCCCAGGTCACAGTCCCACACCAGCGATCAACGGTTGTCATATTTCTGCGCCGGCCCGACCCGTTTACCTTGATCATCATCTTGGCGGCGGGGTGTTTGTGCGTCTGTGTGTCGGCGGTGTGCTACTGTCGGGTCACCAGGGAACCGCGGACTGAATGACGTCCACGGCCCGCCGGCAGCATTTATACGCGGTCACCGGTAGACCTCGAGGCGCCGACCGGGCGGGGGACCTCGGGAGACCGGGGGAACCGTCGACAGACGGAGGGGCGGAAACGTGCACCGTCACGGCGCCGCCAGCGAGGCGGTGCACTGTAGGCGTTCGGGTCGGTCTAGCCTCTTACGGAGCCAAAAAATTATTTTGCTTTTATGAAAACAAAAAGCATACCAATCGACTACAAAATGTCCATACATTATATAAATGACCATTGACCGGTCATGCAACAACTTGGTATAGGGTGAAAGGGGCTTCAAACACAAATATTTCTTAGGCCGTAGACGAGTCATAGTTTTCGGGTGTTTGAAGGGTCAAAGTAGATGCCATGGGGATCCTATGTGCGTGAGTTTTACACGTAAATGGTTTTATGAGTTGTTCTGTGACATGTAACGATCAATTCCGCGCAACGAAAAATGAGGTTGCGAAAATCGTTTAGCAGCATGAGAGATAAACATATCATCGAGTTATTTTGTATGCTTAAAATGAATATCACTCACTATGTTAAAGCCGATCTTTTGAGTTCCCCCAGGTCCCGCTCTAAATCGTGTGTCACAATGTGCATTGTGATGTTATTGAACCGGCCAAGCAATAAAAAAGTGCGCGAACTTGCGCCATTTGCTGTTATGCAACATTTTGCAATACGCTGTCTAGCCTTTATTAGCTCCATAGTGACGGGAGCGAACAAAGCAGCCTGCATTTTGGCTTATATTATTTCAAGTGATGACAGTAACACCAGCCAGTGTTATCTCGTGGGTCAGAAGCATTCTAATTGACCGGAGGATGAGCTGTCACGTGACCGGAAAGGCCTCAGGCGATGCACAGTGGGCGATCCGGCCGGCCTGGTTTCGCGCAACCTCAAACACATTTTGTTTCCTAAAAAATTGAGAGAAGTGTTGCACATGAGTTAATGGGAAATTCTGCATAAGCCACGCCCCCCCCCCCCCGAGGCCGAGGGGGGGTGCTGCCCCTTGTAGGTTTTAACGCGGTAGCTCACAACACGCCGGCGATAAAGAGCTGAAACTTGGCATACTTGACCTTTGATTCAAGCCGGATCTTGTTAAATCAACCGCATTTTCAGGTCAGGTCAGGTCAGGTCAGGCTCACTTATGACGTCGCTGACCTATGACGTCATAAGTGAACCTCTGCACGGTCTTCAGATGTCGCAACTTCGCAACGCCCTCACTGCCAGAGGGACGTTCACAGGGGACGTATAGAATACTCCGAGGTCTCACAACTTGCATATCTCGGATTTTTTGCTAAAGTTCACATGCGGTCAGGTCGGTCACGTGATCTCACCTTTATAAGTCAATGAGGGAAATATGGAAACTGTTATTTTAGTGTCAGGAATGATCTAAAACTATCTCAAGCACATGGAATCATGGTTACATGTACTCCCTGCAAGGTACGGTGCTACACCTTTGCATTGCTAACCTTGCATGACGTCATTTATGACGTCACTAGGGCCATATTAGTTTTCCGTCAATAACTCCGGAACAAAGTAAGTTAGACAGTCGACCTCCTTTGACCAAGTTCGTGACCTGAGGGACTCTGACCAGACTTTGACTCGAGGTCAACGACTCAAAACCTTAACCCTCGGACTTATAGAGGGTCGAACGGACACCCTCGTTTTTTTTTGCGAATAACTCGCGTAAAAAAGGCCGATCAAAGTACATTCGAATTTCAACCATGTGAAATGATGTTGGTTCCATGCATTATGCTGGGTGTCAAGGTCACCTGAAGGTCAGGTCATGTCATTGACCTTTAGTGACCTCGGTTCACTTTTTCGAGTTTTACATGTTTCTAGGCTAGTTTTTGGAGCTGATTTCGAATTTAGCAACCATTTGAGCATTTACGAAGTGGTTTTGGTGCCTTCGTATCATGTTACGAGGCTGTCAGTAGCGGTTGACACCTACTATGAATACCCGGCAGGTCGCATACTGGTTGACCTGACCTGACCTGACCCGACCTGGCCTAAATGCATGAAAAAATCGTCTGTGATCAAAACTAGCATGAAATTCGTGATAAGCACCCCGAAAAGCCCCATGGCAACCTCATTTTACGATATTTTAACAGGTTCCGATTTTCCCGACTTTTGGTAATTCACCTGACCTGGAAGGTCAACCAATGATCTAGGACCTTAAAATTGGGTATCATCGGCTTCCTCTCATCACGGACAGCAAGCTCGTTTTTTCCGTGAAGCTCTAGCTCGATCAGGGGCCAAACCACAAGGGGGAATGGAAGTGCTCCGTTTTGCCACGTTTATGCAACATTTCATGCAGTTCCTGCACATTGCAAAAGCTTATAACATGGGTAACGTCATGCATTCACGTTCTTTAATGAATTTGCTACAGTTTGGTGTGTAATTCGTAGCCGTAGGGCTCCTAGATCCAAGGCTATAAGGGTTGAAAGGTTGTGAGAGGCTAGAACCCCTGAAACGCCCACTGTGCGGTGGGCGGCCGAGCACCGACCCTTCCGGACAGACGGCTAGGGGAAACAGAGGATGATAGCTATTGGAGTTCAAAGTTGATTCCTATTCATACCTAACCGACCGTTTGCTTTACAAAAGCAAAGTGCTTCGTGTTGCTTATGAGTTATGACTTTTGTTAATTACCTTTAGGTAATTGCTGAACCAACATGAACGTAGTGAATTTTGTTCCAAGTATAGACGAACTTATTGCCTAAACAAATTCTAGCATACCAGTTATCACGATTTTCCCTAATTTGCAGCATTGGCCTGAGCTGGAGACTCAACCCTCGCCGGCCGAGGGGGGGGGTTACCGCCCCATTGTTTTTTTTGCGATAGCTCAGAACACGGCGGATATAAAGAGCTGAAACTTAGCATACCTGAGCTTTGATTCAAGCCGGATCTTGTGACACCAACTGCAGTTTCAGGTCAGGTCAGGTCACTGACATATGACGTCACAAGTAAACCTCTGCACGGTCCTCAGAGTCAGATGTCGCAACTTCGCAGCGCCCTCAGTGCCAGAGGAACTTTCACAGGGAGATGAAACTGACAGGACGTAGTATCCTCCAGAGGTCTCACAATTTGTATGTCTCGGATTTTTCCTAAGGGTCACATGAGGTCAGGTCGGTCACGTGACCTCACCATTATAAGTCTATGGAGGAAATGAAAACCATGCTATTTTGGCGCCGGGAACGATTTCAAACTATTTCAAGCACACGAAATCGTGATTTCATTCACTTCTTGCAAGTTCCGATGCTTCCCTTCTGCATTGCTGACCCTGCGTGACGTCAGTAATGACGTCACTAGGGTCATTTTATTGTTTTTGTCAATAACTCCCGATCAAATTGAGCTAGCGAGTCGGGAAACCCACCAATGGGATCAGGAAGACTTGCCGAATCGAATGATATGCAATATGACCTCCTTCGGCCAGCTTCGTGGTGGCCTGGGGGCTCTTACCTTACCTTGACCCGAGGTCAACATCTGAAGTTGACCTCACCCGAACAAAGGTATACTCTTCGACGACCTTGTGCGAGGCGAACACGATGATGCCAAAATCGCGGCGCTGCGACCGTTTTTTTGCGAAGTTATTTAGCAAAAAACCGCACCCGTGCCTTGGGCCACTTGACCTGACATCAGAGGTCACTGGTTGAACTGAGACCTTACATCGGGTACCAATCGCTGCGTCTCGTAACGGCACACACGCCTGTTTCTTTATACGCGACGCTAAGCTCCATTATCATTATTATTATTATTCTTGTATCATGACCTCCATACAACAATGGCTCTTCCGGTCACACAGTCATGATCACAAAGTGCTAAAGTGACAAGCACACATAACATCGCATCTTCATGGCAAAGTTTATGACGAGCACAATAAACACAACGTAATCCTAAACCACTTTTTCTCAGTAACTACTGACAGTACAGGTGACTAGTTTTCATGGAGTCACTGAGCCACGACCGCGCTCGTTTTCGGCATCCAGCTGAGGTCCTAGCACGCACCCCTGACCTGCGCTGGAGCCCTGTTCCAGTGAAACACAGCGCTGAAATAAAAGAAACATCGCGCTTTTTCTGTATGTACGCGCGGGACCTGAAGCAGGCTCGCGCGAGTCGTACGTTTGACTCTCCCGGTAACATCATGACGATAACATAGGTAGTCCATCGCGAAGACACTTTGGCACCTGAAAGTTTTGCAAAATTTTATGAACCATCGCCAGGTCACTTTCAATGACAAGTTCATCTAGCCTTGGCCATCCAAGCCTCTGAAGCAAGGGTGAAGCGTGAGCAGATCTCCGAGACCCAGTGACAATCTGTGCACTATGATTCAGCACCTTCTGAATCCGATGACTCTGTGACAGCCCACAACCAGACCACACTGTCATACAGTAAACAATATGCGGCAGTACGGGCATTTCTACGATCATCTTTTTTTACACATTAGGGGGCGAAACGGCGAGGGAGTCGTACTCCTCCCCCGGTCCCCTCGGTCGGTGCGTATGCGGAAAACCATTGAGTCAGACGAGCTCATCAGGGGCGTCGAACGCGGGGGGCATCGCCTCCCCCCCCCTACCCACGACAGCGGCTTTAAAAACGCAGATACTGACAACAGTTAAAATGTCATTTCTCAGTAGTATCCAATATTCAAAGGCTAATTCATCTCCTCTGTCGAATGGGCCTTTTCGGGGCGATCACCAGCACTTTGCCACGAAGGAACGTCCTAGCAAAACATCCAATGAGGTTTCCAAACTGCTTGCCTAGAATATTCGGAATTCAATTCTTTTCTTATTTTGGTCGCCGAGCCAAAAGGCATCTTTTTCTTTCAATCGGGCGGACTTGTAAGCCCATGGGCCTTGATGCGCCTTGTAAAGTTGGATGCTCTCGCTGTAGCTCTCGGCTCTGCCTCCACCACCTTAAATGATTAACCTCAAACACGCGATTCATTCATATTTCCCAGATGCCACGGAACCACTATGATGGCTCCCTAATTAATCAAAGCCTGTGCAGCAGCACCACTCACAGCTGCGGCCCGCACGCCCATGCTGTCGTCAGTGGTCCCCTATTGCACCGTGCACCGGCTGCGTGCCGCCGGCAGTGTGCAGTGCGCGCGGCACGGTCGGCAGGACCGTCCCATGACCTCGGGGTCGGCCCGTTCACCGATGCCGGATCAGGCGTGGCACCCATGTCCGCCGCTCGCCGCCGTATAAAGGGCTGCCGACCGGGGCCCGTCGAGCAGTCTGCCGAGATCGCCGGTTCAGGTGCTTCCCGTTGTCCGACTTCGCCGGCCCATCGACCCCGACTCACACCATGATGATCAAGGTACGGAGAAGCGACGTGGCGCTCAGGTGCAGATCTCGTGTGCGGGTGGAGATAATAGATTGGCTTCACTCACGCTGTTGAACTCGAAACAAGTCGAAAGAATGCCTATCATTTATTAAGTTAAACATTTATCTCAAAACGCGAAATTGGAGAAAGTGTTTTAATGTTACGTTCTTTTTTAATTAGTAAAAGTGAGGGAGAACTCCGACGACATGAAACAGGAAACTTGTTTATCCTCAAAAGGCAAAGCGGCCTACTTCGTTTGATTTATTACAACCATGGCATGAAATGCGTCAAACAAATGCCATCGTCATAGGCCTCGACTACCCATTTCTAAATAAATCCAGTTGATCCACACCAGTTGAATATTTTAAGAATGTAAATAATAAATATCGTTTATAGATCGTTTATATAGGTCGCGCCACTTTGATTACAGTCTTGCTCTTCGTGTTTCTCGATGTCACGGACGAGACACATTTATTCTGCTGATTAATTATGTGAATCAGAATAAGGCTTAATCGATCGTACACATCCACACTTAAAATCTTTCACACCCAAAGTGCTGATGTTTGGGTGCTCTTAGGTACTGTCATTGCTATAATTTCCATTAGGACGTTCATGTATGATACAAGTTTAATACGGTGTTTAGAGATACACATTGCACAATGCACATCTTTCTCCTGTGAACCGTCATTTTTCCAGTAGACTCTCCTTACGTCTGCCTATACTGACGGCACGTGCTCCGTTTTAGGCGGTACGTACCTAATTACGTTCCTTGCCTCTGATCTGACGGCCCATGCTCCGTTTCCGGCAGTGATATTTGGTTACGTAGTTCGTTCCTTGCCTGTAATATGACAGCTCGTTCTCCGTTTCAGGAGGTAGCATTTACGCAGTTACGCACGCTCCTCTGATCTCGCGGCTCGTGCTCCGTTTCAGGCAGTGGTAGTGAGTTACGCAGTTACGTTCTTTGCCTCTGATCTCGCGGCTCGTGCTCCGTTTCAGGCGGTGCTCCTTCTGGCGCTGGTCGCCGTCTCGCAGGCCTTCTTCTTCCGTCTGGGAGGCGGCCGGAAACACCACGGCCACGGCTACGGGCACGGCTACCACCACCAGCCGAGCTACGGGCACGGCTACCACCAGCCCAGCTACGGCTACCAGCCCAGCTACGACTACGGTCACGGCGGCGGCTTCAGCGACTACAGCGACTACTATGACGACGGCTATAACTCGTACGGATACCACTAGTGCTGCGCCCACTCGCGACGGGGCGGGTCGGTGCGTGACGCTCTCTTGTTGCCCTGGTTATCAGAACAGGGTCGTTCACTCACATACATCCTGTGTATGCAGTTTGTGACCTGTATATGCTCATTTGTCTAGAAACGACGACTGCGGGCAACGCTCAAGTGTCGTTATTCGTCACTGCGAATCAAATATCGTCGCGTTCTATTGCCTACCATGTCTTCCCGTTGCCAAGAGTACGCTGGTGTGATATTCATTCTAGATTTATCCCGTGCGAAAGTAGTCAGACGCCTCTATGTGTGCACATGAATCGCCATGCACTTTGACGGCCTTGATCAATGATCATGTTTCTCCAAAGTGGCCCTATCTTGTCAAATGGTATCTGCTTTAGATAAGCGTCACCATCAATGACTCATCAGCTTGCACGAATCATCGGCTTGCATGCATGTTTCAAATGCATACACTATTTATCATAATATATGCATATGTTCGCTAAAGTGCTGAATTTTAAAGTCCTCATAAGCCAGTAACCTGTTTTAAGAAAAAATACTTGCGAATTAAACGATGAAAGTGACCTGAGGTCAGGTCAGATTAGTGACCTCACCATGATAGACAATGGGTGAAGTACAAATGCCTGCTGCTGTCAAGAAACACGTCAAAATTGCAACACATTTACAGAAACATGACCATTTTACTCATACACGATGGATGGGCTGTAGCTGATGGCCAGGGGTCATGCAAAAGGTCATGTTAGCCCGCGCCCCGCTGGGGGTTCTGGATTTCCACACCCTGCTGGGGGTGCTCGAACACCCCCTTCTAACTCGTCACCAGGGACACGTAGCGACACGTCGTATAAGGCGACGTTCGAAAGAGCGTCAACAATAATGAAGAAATTACTTTGGCCACGTTTTAGGTCAGGTCAAATGTCAGGTCACCAGAGGTCAGCGAAGGTAAAATTTCGCCACTTTCCAGGCCAGACTTCGACAATATTCGACAAACTGGCGCATAGCTCAGGAACGGATAGAGCTACAGCGCCGAGGAAAAGCGCATTCGATAGCTCTAATAACGGTCTTTCTAGTTCTGGTACAGTACGTCTTTCTTTGTAAGTACATACGTCTCTCAGATTTGAGTTAATGCCAACGCTTAAGCCTCCGGGGCGCAAAAATACTTAGATGTTTTTAGCGGAAACAGATTTTCTGCAATAACTTTTAACTTTAAACTTGCACGAGCTTCCTTTTAGCAGCATCGTGTTCCTCTCGTCAAGACGCAAGAATCAACTATAATTAGACACTGAAAAATTATCTTGAAAATTTGACCTCAGGTCAATGTCATGATCTGACCGGAATAGGTCATCTTACATATCGGTTGATCCGTGATTGTCGATCCGAACACATCCAAGGTGTTTTCATCGCTCTAGCGTGCCTCTATCAAGAGTATTAGCGAAAAACAGATATTATTCGCGACCTGAGATGACCTCAGGGACATAACGAGGGGTCACGGGTGTCATTTTCGGTTCAGTGTGTCATGTCTACTTGAAATACGATCTTTGAAAGTGTTCAGAATAATGTTCGTCCAAAACGGGAGCTTTTCATTTTTTCCCATTGACTTATAATGGATAGGTATGTCACAAAATTGATCTTAGGTCACCGATAACAAAATACCGAGACATACATTTTGTACATACTGTTGCTCCCATCAATTGCTAAACGTTTCAAAGTGACCAGTCAATTATTGTAGCTATGACAGGCATTGAAACTTCTTATGAGGTGAAGTCACTTGACGTGACGTGGCCTGCCCTTGAGTGACTTTGGTCTGAAAATTTCACATGATGTGCAGAAAAGATGTATGATAAGGTGTACGCCCCGCCGTTTTTAAGATATTCGCGAAAAACCGCAGGAGGGGGTGTTCAGCCCCCCCAGAAGGGCGCGGGTTAACCCTCGCCCGTAGTTAACCCTCGCCCGTACCGTATAAGGGGGGGGAGGGGTCGAATGGACCCCCTCGGGTTTTCGCGAGTAAATCACGTAATAAGCGCTAGATCGCGACCAAACTTTTAGTACCCTCGCGTTTATCAATTTGACACCTACCCTGACAATTCCATGACCCTGACCCAAATAACCTTTGACCTATGACCTACCTTTTGAGACCATGTTAAGCCGGAATCGTGATTCGACGTATGTCGGCTGGCATTAGCCGCGCGTTTGCAATCTTTTCGTGGTTTCAAGCGTTCAAACATGAGATATGATGCTGCTCCCATGACTGAGGGTGGGTGTCAAGGTGACCTGAAGGTCAGGTCAGGTCATTGACCTTTGATGACCTCGGTTTACTTTTTCGAGTTTTACATGTTTCTAGGCTAGGCTTTGGAGCTGATTTCGAATTTAGCAACCATTCAAACATTTACAAAGAGTTTTGGTGCCTTCGTAACATGTTACGAAGCTCTCAGAGGCGGTTGACACCTACTACGAATACCTACCTACCTAGCAAAGCCCCTACTGGTTAACCTGACCTGACCCGACCTTGCCTAAATGCATGAAGCCATCATCTGTGATCAAAGCTAACATAATGTCCGTGATCAGCACCCCGAAAACCCCATAGCAGCCACACTACGACGTTTTAACAGGTCCCGATTTTCCCGACTTTTGGGTCATTCACCTGACCTGGAAGGTCAACCAATGGCCTAGGACCTTAAAATTGGGTATCATCGGCATCCTCTCGTCACGGGCAGCACGCTTGTTTTTTCCTCGAAGCTCTAGCTCGATCAGGGGCGAAACGGCAAGGGGGTCCCCATCCCCCTCATACGTTCCCGGCTGGCAAAACACCAATACGGGCGAGGGTTAACCCGCGCCCTGCTGGGCTATTCAGCCATACGCGCGCTGCTGGGGGGGGGGGGGGGGGGCAGATTCTGCCCCTCCCTGTCTAACTTCCGAACCGATGGTCGTAGAAAGACGAGGAAAACGGCAGTCAAAAGCTCTCAAGAAGGCGGATCTTAAGAGCCCAATTTTTTTTGCTTAAGTAGGTCAGAGGTCAGGTCAAGGGTACAAAGTGCAAGTTTCTACAGTATCGGCCTTGCACCGTAGTTGCCGAAGAATGGACTGAGACTGATTGCCCAAAACGTGTTCTTAGGCTACCAAGACAATATTCGTTGCATACAATATCATGCAAAGGTCAAGGTTAAGGTTAGGTCAGGTCACCAAAAACGAAATATAGAAAAGGGCATTGCGACACATGTTTTATGGGTATTTCATTCATAGAATTCAATAGGCACACTCAATAAGTGATATGGATGACATCTGGATGAATTTCAGTTCGAGGTCAGGTCAAGGTCAGGTCAAGTGAGGTCAAATTTTAGAGTTGGTTTTTAAGGCTTGAAAAAGGTGTCTATCTGATGCAGCTTTTCACGGCAAATCGAATGGTGCTATTTTTGTTTCCGTACGAGGTCTAGAATGTCCAAAAGAATCATTTTTCAAAAAAATTGTGTGTCGTGACGTCATAAAATTTTGAATAACTCCCACATTTATGAACCGATTCTTCTAAAAATTGGTATGTAGGTGCACATAGACCACTTCTCTGACATATATTCCGGCTATTTCGATACACTCAAAATTTTGTATTATATAATTACTTTCCCAAAAAGTCAGTTTTTTAAAGAAAAATTGGGCCAAAATCCAAAATTTTCAAAAACCCAAGATGACCATTTGATAGACAAAGTAAAATCACGTATAACCTTTTTTGTTACGTCTTGATTCCTTTAAAAATAAAGATGTTAGCGGCGTTTGAAATTTTGCCGTTTTTTAGGCGAAAATGGCGAACATGACGTCACTAAAACGTCATTTTCTCTAAAAAAAAAATTGACGGATTTCGCTCAAAGTTTCAGGGAACGTGTCAAATTAATGCATGATAAGGTGCTGAAAGTTTGACGTCGCTGGCGTAACGCGTTTAGAAGGTATTGGCAAAAAACGGGAGGGGGCAGATTCTGCCCCCCCCCCCAGCGGGGCGCGGGTTAAGTCATAAAGAGTATCGTAGTTTTCCGACAATAACCTTTGATGGAGACAAGGAAGAGCGAAGAAACCACCTGGATTGTGTAAATATTATCAATACGGATATATTGATATGCATTATGCAGCATGACCCTTCTCGGTCAGGTCATGACCTAGGCCTGAGGTCACATGATAAGAAGTTGATCTTTTAAGGTTAACTTAGCTCATTCGACGGCGCGTTTCGACAAGAGAAACACAATGGTGGTAAAATAAATATAGGTACAATGAAGCATGAACAACACTAAGGTTGTAGCTGAAATAATTATTTTGAAGGTCTTGGAGATAAGCTGTAGGAATGGTGTCGTAGGTATAAATGAAAAGATCATAGGTTTTTAGGCGTGATTACAACTTGACCTGGTGAATTGACCTTATGTGACCTGGGTCAAAAATTTACATGCCTTCGATACAAAATTTATGTGAAATAAGACTTTGAGGAAGAATGGTTGGTTATCCCGCGCCCCACTGAAGGGGGGCTATTCATAGCCCCCTCCCGTTTTTCTGCAATAACTTCCAAACCGCTTGACGTATCGGCGCCAAACTTTCAGTACCTTCGGCTGTATCAATTTGACACCTTGTGTCAAAATATGAACTTCGTAGCTACCATAGGTCGGCCGGAAATGACGTCAGAGTGACGTCATGTTCGGCCGATTTCGACGCAAAACATTGAACCACGGCAATCGCTCCCAAGAGCTCAGTTTTTAAGCTAGATCCAATTTCTTTGCATGAGAGGACTCAGAATAGACTGCGCTATCAAACTGCTATCTCGGATTTTCGAAATTTTGAAAATTGCGAAAATTTAATAAAAATTCAAAATTTATATCTTTACATTTTTTCCAAAATTCGAAAAAAAAACGGAATACATGTGATAGAACGCATTATTTTTAGTAACTCTAGCAAGTTTTAGCTAAAAATCTTCAAAAATGGCCAAGTTATGCGCATTATTGCAAAAAATCACAATTATTATTTTTTTCAAATCAATTTTTCAGCACGTATTTGACATCGTACGCCAATATAAATAGCACCATCGTGTACCTGAGCTCAAACTGCATCAAATACACACCTTTTTTGTTGAAAAATTTTAACTTCAAAATTTGACCTTTTTTGACCTGAAAGTGACCTGACCTAAGCTAAATTCGACTCAAAATAACCTCGAATGACTTAGACGACATCAAATTCGAAATCTTTGGCCTAAATGGACCATAAAACATGTGTCACGTGACCGACGCATGATATAATATTTTCGTGACCTGTGATGACCTGACCTTGACCTGAAAATCAAAGTACAAGTTTGGCACCCTCAGGGTATCTAGAGCATCTGTTCATGAGTGTGTGAACCAAAAATGAGCCTGATCTGACTTGTAAGACGGCGGCCAGAGCCCAAAACGTGAACAAACCAAAATGCTAATAATTTTTACTTTGACCTAACCTGTGACGTCATCGGTGACCTCAAGGTCAATGAAATTAGGTTTCACTCGGCAGTTTTTCCGGGGCTATCAGACGCCGTTTGAATTTTGACGGTCGGCCCAGTAGTTTCGGAGTTAGGAGGGGGGGGGGTATGAATAGCCCTCCCCCCCCTAGTAGGGCGTGTTATACGCAGACCCCAGTGGGGCGCGGGTTATGGGCGCCATGTAGCCTCGCAGGGGCGTCGACGCGTAAGGAAAACTGGTCCGACTTTTTCTCGGGGGGCCCCCACCGGTGGGGGCCCCCAGGGGCCCCCGTGGCCGCAGCAGGGCCCCCCGAGAGCCCCAACAGGGGCCCCCCGAGAGCCCAAACAGGGGCCCCCCGAGAGCCCCAACAGGGGCCCCCCCACGGCCGCAGAAGGGGACCCCGCGGGCCGCAGCAGGGCCCCGCGGTGTCTAGCAGGGCCCCAGAGGCGCAGCAGGGCCCCCGCGGTCTCTAGCAGGGCCCCCCGAGCCGCAGTAGGGCCCCCGCGGTCTGCAGCAGGGGCCCCCGCGAGCCACAGCAGGGCACCGCCTAGTCGGAAAAGTGGTCCGACTAGTCGGAAAAGTCGGACCGGTGTCGACGCCCCTGTAGCCTCGTTGCTGGTGCGCCCTTAAACACCAACTCATCATCATGTAAATAAGCATTACCCACCAAGTTTTGAGGGGCGGCGCGACACGGTTTTCCAATACCTACTCAAGAGTGTGGCCAAAACGCCTCCCTCACCTCAGGGTGAAGGTTTTTCGCCTCAGTCCCTCACCTCAGGGCATGTGTCGTGTTTTCCGTGAAAAAAAAAACACAAGCTAGGTATAGATTGATTTCTAGAAGCAAAACGGCGACACACGTCGAACTACTTAAAGGGACCCTCCCACATTCAAAAAAAGTTTATGAATTGGCATGAAAGTGATGTCGCTCGGTTCAGAAAGAGCGAAAACGAATATCTATCAAATTTTTTTATATGGGCGAGGATGGATGACATGATTATTATTAATATAACGAGGCTTGAAATGATCTCACGCATGACCGAACGAGGGATCGCAGCGTCAAACGGGTAAAACTTCCGTTTGAGCAGAACGGGTACCCAACAGCCATGCTAGACACGAGCATAAAGAATAACCTTCGCAAGCGTAGTGAACGTAAAACTCAGCGCAACAAAGAAAACGAGATATTCATGCGGCTTCCCTATTTAGACGAAAACGTCGTTAGAAGAGTCAATGGTGTTTTGAGAAGATCTAAAACTAATATCAAAGTAGCCTGGATTAGTGGTCCCACAGTAGGAAACAAACTTATCTCTTCTGCCTTCTCTAAACCGCACTGCCCAGCCGGGACTAAGCACTGTCACACCTGTGAGAGTGGGCTGAAGGTTAGTGTACTAAGAAAAACGTAGTCTATAAAATTACCTGTAGCCTCAGTGAAAGAAACGGACGAACTGAATTTTATACCGGAGAAAGCACCCGCCCTGTACGTTATCGATTCAACGAGCACCTAAGTGACGCTCGCCTGAGAAAACCGGACACCCCACTAGGTGAACATATTGCTGATTCGCACTTTAACGCAAGTAGCACTGAAATCAACTCCGCCTTTACTATTGATATAATCGGTCGGGGACGGGATTCTGCTGAACTAAAAATCACTGAATCCATCAAAATCAGAGACCTAAGGCCCACATTAAACATGATGAAAAGCTCATGGCCCCTCGCTCGTAAACCATAGGTCATAACACACACACACACACACACACACGCACACTTCTCTCTCATTCACTCACCCCCTCACTCACTCACACACTCACTCTTTCACTCACTCACTCACAAATTTATACACTCACTCACTTATGTCTACCCTTTGTTTCACATGTTTACTCTACCACGCACACACACACGTACACACATACACACACGCACACACACATGCACCTAACTGACTCACCCGACTCACGACTGGTTGACTGGAATCGAGCTAAGAACAGCGGCAATGTTTTTCAATATGATTATAATGTCAATGTTTACTGACCGGGTGTTGATGATGTATGCGGCTGATGTTGAGGTGAGATTTATTGACATTGTTGTACCTATGATATATTGTGTGCATGTCATGTTGTAGTGTACGTAATGATACATTGTTGTACATTATTTACTTGCCTTGTGCAATGTACCACACTATTTGCAACGTATTGCAATACGTTTAAAAAAGTGAGCTGCTATGAGGATGCCTGGAACAATATGATTGTGCTCTAGCTTTTGAAAATCAAAAACATGTTAATTTATTCAAACTTGATGATGGCGTAATGCCGAAAGCTTGTTTTACTGTTTTAGATATTCATTTTGCCTAAAATAAAAACACTTTGACATGCGTGAGATCATTTCAAGCCTCGTTATATCTATCAAATTTCACCGAAAAATATTCACCGGTTTTCAAGATATTAGACTTTTACTTTTGTTTACTTTTTTGGGATCTCCGCTGTTTCTAGCGACTTTATTTTAGAAGTGTGGCGTTTGCGGCAGATGTTGCGCGCAAATAGCATACATACCACCGCGTGCTACAAAACGTTTTAGTCAAACATTTAAAAATCGTTAGATATCTGCGCTGACGTCACACATTCAGAGGGGTATTCCTAAGCATTAGCCCCTCTGAATCAAAATGCTGCAATTTTGAAATTCAATATTTCCGATTTAAGGCATTTCTCGATGTTGTGAGTGCCGAAACCGGTAATTGTGAGCCAGGGACCCCATTTTGGCTATCTCAACTCAAATCTAATGTTAAGGTGGGAGGGTCCCTTTAACACCTCGACACCCATCAAAGGCGTTTAGAAAATTGGCATCCCTGGCGTTCACCACTTCTATATCAATATTTATTCCAGGGGAAACCAGGATCCTAAAAACAGCGATGACATTCTTAGGAGGTGACGATCAGGAGGATAATGCGGGACAGCTATATCACCAATTTTGGCGCTGAAGTCGGTTGCGTCAGCCGCGGCCGCGCCCGGCGCTCACCATTCGTCAGTGACAGCGCCGCGCCGCGAGTGGGTGCAGGGCAGGGATGGGCCAATCGCGGGGAACCACCGCCGTCCGCGACCGACCGACCGACCGTCAGTGACCCGGTATGGGGTCCGTGTCAAAGGGCAACGAATGAATAGTTCATGAGCGATTATGGAACAAACGCAAAAAAAGACAACGGACGGGTGGAAAATTTGTATTCTAATCTCAGGACCAGTTCGCTGATTATGATCTTCGTACGCAAAATTGGGTTAGGGAGAAGGCTGGCCGGCGAGCAAAAGTGATTGCAGGCGCGAAGATGGACCCACATTTTGAAGATATGTAGGTTGAATGGGAGGGATTGGCCGGTCTTGGTAACGTTTATGAGAGGTACTTTTCATAATACGTCTGGGTGACCAGCATGGCCTTTGTCACATACCAGATTAGGGATACAAAATTGTTTACGCTTTTGATGCTGTGCTGGTATAGGTAGATGAGCGCACGTGGAGGCAGAGCTTTGCCTACACATACGTACACATCTCAAGAGTGGTTGGGACAATTGCGCTCAAATTTCGTAGATCGATTGCAGCGGTTTACACATTTTTTTAAACTGTTTTTTATGGCTTAGACTTCTCTAAATTGAGACCACACTGACTTGTGCCGGGCACTTTTATAGTGGTCCCCGACCTCAACGCATTGGCGACCGTCTCAATTGGCACGTGCGCACGTGCAGGGCCCACTATTGCACTCGCTCGTTCCAAAGAGAAGTCTCACTGGTTGTACGCATTGCTATTTATAATTCATAAAACACAGGGAAGCCCAAACACGTGCTAAGGCCTAAGACGCCCAAAATGCATTTAAATCGCATGAGCACGCGGATCTTTAGGTGATCACGTGTCGAATCATTATATAATTATTTTTACAATAGCATATAAATTTAAACCGTAAGTTACGTTCACTTTTTCATTTCGACAGCCCGGGCTCTATAACAGCTTTCAGCCCACCAAGCCTTTCGGAAAAACGCATTCTTTGTTGCAGCACGTATAGCAGCACTTCTGCTGCCCAGGACAGTCGGAGTCGCCGGTGCACTTGTCCGGAAGAGGAGCGCACGCACACCAGAGCTGCGGGACGGGACAGTGGCCTGGTTTGGGGCGACTCGGGTCGGGGCTGGGGGTCGTCGGCCCAGGTTCTGGCAACGGCTCCGGATCCGGATCCCTCAGATCTTCCGGTTCCGGCCCTGGCTCTGAATCCAAATCCGGCTCCCAATCCGGCTCGGGGATGGGGGTGGGCGTCGTCGTCGGTGCCCCGGGCAGAATGGGGTCGGCACAGCGCGTGCCGCACCTGCTGCTGCAGCACTTCTGCGCGCCGGGACAGAGGAGGTCGCGCCCCCGACAGTCAAAGACTTCGCCGTCCTCCGGGCACGGGCTGGCGATGGTCAGTAGCGGGCACAGTCCCGGCTTCACTCGGTCCGGCGGGAAGACGGGCCGCACGCAGGACTTGCTGCAGCCTCCCACACAGCACTTGAGCGCACCCGGGCAGTTGAAGTCGTCACTCTGGCAGGTGTCGGGCAGCGGGTATACGTCGCACTGGGCGGCCGGCAGCGGAGGACAGTGGCCATCCTTCTGAAGCCGAACAGTGCAGAGCCCCGGGATGGGAGCCGCCACAGCCAGCAGCACACACAGCAGTAGCGGCGGCATGGCGTCAGACTGACTGCTGGTCCCGGCCTGTCCGGGCGTCACCTCTGGTCCCCACGGCCACTATGACTAAGTCAGTGTTGAATCCGGTCCCCGCTTGTCACCGCCGGTTTCACATTGTCAAAAGACATCATCCGGGTCGCAAGTGACCTTTAGCAGTGCTGTCACTCACATGTCACATGCCCATTTTGTGACAGCAAATGGTTACAGGGCGTCTATAATAGTCGGCACTCTGCATTCACACTTCTGCAAGTTCAAACTCCCAAGAACACTGTGTGGTCCAGTCAGGGACGTAGCCAAGGGGGTCGAGGGGGGACACGGGGCCGTGCCCCCCCCCCCTGAAGGCGAAAAATAAAATCAAATTAAATAAGAAATAAAAATAAATAAAAACAGCTGCACCACACTCCCAAAAAGAGTGGACCGAATCCGAGGAGTTTCCTTTTTTGGAAGGGGTATGACACTAGGCCGCGACCTGTGGCCACTCCCCGAGCAAAACCCTGGCTACGTGCTGGGTCCAGTGTGCCTAAAACGTAAAGGCAACAGGTTTGGGGACTAGCAGTCTCTAAAAATCGTATAGTTGAGAATACCTAAATGAGATTATGTCAAGATCACCCCACACATTTCTGTGGGGAAAAAAAAATCATAAGCAGAATATATGCATGTAAGCATGAATATATTTAGCGGCGGTTTCCTTTCTAAATTCCGATTCATAAATGACGCGGGTACTCCAAAATATTTGCGTGGTCCATTATAGAGTTCAGTGGCGTGGTCATTCCGTTCTTTCGCTTCCGTTCTGGTTCACGAGCTGGATAATAAAATACTGCAACTCTACGGAAAATACCATTGTTTATCATTTTAATTTGTTTCTTGAACTATGCTCGATAAGAAACAAAGATTTCGGTGTATTGAGCTAGTATTACTTCAAAAAATTCGAGATTTCAGCTTCATACTGAGACAGGTCAGGAAAATATAATACATATGGCACATACGCTACTGAAGAACGTCAGGCATCTCAGGGCGGTGAGCAGGAACGAAAAGAACACAGTCTTGTAAACAAAGCGCAGAACTTCGATGATAACTTTGTGGAACTGCGATAGCGGTGAAGTGTGAATCGGCGAGGGCGAAGGTCGGAAACACGGAGGTCCCCAAGCGTTTTCGTTTTAATTATATGAATCCAATTAGTATCACAACATGCTATAATCCAACTATCTAACATTCCCTGCCAGTAAAATGCAACAGCTTACCATTTAAAGCCGAGTGCTGTTCACGGGCACCTGCGGTAGCTGCGGTAGCTGCGGCTCGGCGGTCAGCCGGGTAATGACGTCACAGAAAGTGGGGATGGGGCGGGTGGTGTGACGTCATACGGCTGCGGCCGGCTGCGGTCGCCTGCGTCTCCTGCGGTCGAAACGATCCGACCGCAGCGGCCGCAGGAACCATTTGTCATGCAAAGTGGCGCGGCAGTTGCGCATTCGTGTAACTTGGGCGGAAAATTGACACGGCCGCCTCAGACGAACGCGTGATGACGTGCGCACAAGTGGGCGGGACTTACAGCCTGCGATCTACCGCAGCTACCGCAGTTACCGCAGGTGTCCGTGAACAGCACTCTGGCAAAATTGACCCCAAAACACCACATGCCTCACCCCTCGCAACCGACGCTGACGCCATGCTGGTTACGGCGGATGAACACAATTTATAAACAATCAAGGCTGCAAAAATATCAGATGCGTTTCGCGTGCACAATTTTTTATCGCAGCCAGAAATGACAAACAATACCAAGGTTCTCAAATTGTTATGTCTAAAGCGCGGACAACTTTAAATTTGAGAAAAGCGATTATTACTCGATGAAATTCAAAGAGGTGTCCTAACCTAACCTAACCTAACCTAACCTAACCTAACCTACTGATTTTTGCCTACCGAGCTTAAAGAAGCCTAACCTAACCTACTGATTTTGCCTACCAGGCATAAAGAAACCTAACCTAACCTAACCTAACCTACTGATTTTTGCCTACCAGGCATTAAGGAACCTAACCTAACCTAACCTAACCTAACCTACTGATTTTTGCCTACCGGGAATCCTAACCTAACCTAACCTAACCTAACCTAACCTACTGATTTTTGCCTACCAGGCATTAAGGAACCTAACCTAACCTAACCTAACCTAACCTACTGATTTTTGCCTACCGGGAATCCTAACCTAACCTAACCTAACCTACTGATTTTTGCCTACCAGGCATTAAGGAACCTAACCTAACCTAACCTAACCTAACCTAACCTACTGATTTTTGCCTACCGGGAATCCTAACCTAACCTAACCTAACCTAACCTACTGATTTTTGCCTACCGGATAAGGAAATAGTTACTTGCAGGAATAGATTGCAGGCAATAGTAAATCAAATATTTTCAGGTTAAGTGGTCATGCATCAGGCTTCAGGCCTTCGGCCTGAAGCCAGATACATAACCATTTAACCTAAAAATATTTGATTTACTATTGCCTGTAATCTCTCCTAAGGAATTGCCTTCGGCACTGCACTGCTTCGCCACGAGTTGGCCACCGACGAAAATATGCACAGTACAGGCGAAGAAATGTTGGACGAAGAATGAAAATATGTACAGACAAAAAAAAATGCACGGACCAAAAAACGAAAATAAAGAAAATGCACGAACGAAAATATTTACGAACGAAACTACCGTCGTCGCCGCGGCGATATGATAACGGTCTACCAAGTGCTCCACGGGGGAGTTGACGTTGACGCGTCCAAGTTCTTTACGCGAGCAGCGACGTCCCGGACCCGTGGACACACATGGAAGCTTTCCAAGTCCAGGACCAACTCCAGAGTCAGACGAAACGCGTTCAGTGTGAGAGTCGTGAACGACTGGAATTCGCTGCCATCGACTGTTGTTGATGCGCCTTCAGTCGACTCATTCAAGGCCAGGCTCGACAGTCACTGGGCACGCTTCATGCACATGACTCACCCATACGACTGAAACATCACACAATACAGACAAACAGCTCGACAAGACCGGATCCCAGAGGCCAAGTGGCCTTTCTAAATTCCGCGATTTATAAGTATAAGTATAAGTATAAGAAACATTTCTGAAGACTTTTTCAGAAAAGTCGCTATCATTCGTCGACAGATCTGGCGCATCTCGTGAGGCGCTTTACCGAAAAAGAAAATTACCGAATTCTCTTCTATTAAAAATTAAAAATACAGAACCGTTATGTAATTCCGAAATTATTTGTGTATATCTATCACTTTTTCATAAAAATAGTACCCCCCCCCCCACCCAAAACCCCGGTTTCCCACAGTTCCCCTAGTGTGTTGGGTTTTATGAAGATACTACATTTCTGCGTAATGGTATTTAACAACAATTGACATGTTGACAACAGACCGTCGTGCGGCTCCACCGAGATCGTGGTAAGAATACGATTAGTTAGCTTTTGGTCTTAAAATTATCGATCAGATAACTGGAAACCACATTATTCTTACTAAACATGAGTTTCTCTATAGAATGATGTCTATATTATAGGGATTAACTAATTTTTGAAGCGGGGACCTCCATGTGTACCGCCAATTTTATTTAATTATATTCATTTTTCCATAGCAATATGCTTGCACTCCACATTACAAGTTACAATGTAGTTCTCACCTGCCATGCCATGTTGTAGGTGAATTATATGTAAATGCACATAATGGTTGCACATACACATGACAGTTGGGGTAGTAGCTGCTGGGAGACAAGAAAAAGTCCGAAGGAAATGGTCTGTGTCAGGAGTAGAAGCATAGCAAGAATAGGATCTCTTGCTGAAGAAAAGTTGGACCTGTCATGCAAACAGGCCCTTGCACTTTGAGGCATTACTATAGATTTTTAAATTTAGGATTAAGGACCAAATGCATATCTACAGGAAGTGCTAAATGAGGAGCAAGCTCACCTGCCTTCCAATGTGGTTCCATTATGAGATGTGATTGTGACACTGATTGGTCCCCTTCTACAGGTCCTGCGATGGCAGCAATCACAGAGCAGGAGGCCCGTCGGCTGTGGAAAGAGGCAGATGCAGTCTGTTTTGATGTTGACTCAACTGTGATCAGGGAAGAGGGCTGTGACGAGCTGGCACGCTTCCTTGGAAAGGCTGAGGAAGTGGCAGAACTGTAAGTTGGGTGGTCGGTAGGATGGCATATCAGTAGGCGGAACTATGGTCATGAGTACCCAAATATAGGAACGTTCCCATTTTTGGGAACGGAGTTCCCAAATATGAGAACGGGCGTTCCCATTTATGGTAACGGAAGGTAATTTTTCGGCCGTTTGCCCACTAAAACTCATTAGTGCATCACGTCTCAAAAAAGTGCACGCTAATTTAAGTATCTACTAAGTCTATAAAATTATCTTTAATCTGACCGTTGCACAAGGAAATTGACCGTCGAATGATATTTTTAATGATTTTTTGAAATGACGGAATGGTGAAAACATGGGTTATACTACATTTAACTTGCAATTTTAAGGAAAATGAAGCGGTTTTTACATTTTGAGGTCAAGTATAATAATTTTCGCCTGGTTATGAAGTTTCATACTAGCGACACCACATGCTGACATATGCAAGCGAACACGCGGGCAGTCCGGGGGTAATATTGGTGACATTTGGTGTCGGGGCGCACGACCGCATGGAACGTCAGTGATTTTACCGAACTACTGTTGTAAACTTAGTTTCAGTGGTTTAAAATTATTCAGCTGTATTATATCATCCCAGATAGACATATTTTATTTGGATGCTAGCTGTTTAGAGTTGTTTTATAAGGAGCGTCATGAGCGTGGTTTTTGTCTTCCGTGTTTCTAAGCGTGATCGTTTTGGGGGAATTTCTCTTATATAGGTCGCTCTGTGTGGCTTATTTATAATTTTTATGCTGATTTCGATCATTCCTCGTGCCCATCCTACCAGGCCTTTTGCCACTTACACTCATCAAGAAAGGAAAAAACTAGATTTTCATTGGGACTAGGTGTTTTGAGGGTGTAACATATTCAGCGTTCCCATTTTTGGATACTTCCTTGTGCTCGTCAACTATCGGTGATAAACAGAAAGGTGCTTGACATGTCTCCACCCTCGGCGCGGACGGTGGATATAGGTATGGAAGACCTTGTTGAACATCGCTGAGCGTTGTGAATTACGTAATCCTGCGGAGGGGGGCGTGCCCGCTGCGAGATTGACGGGAATAAAAGCGCAGAAGACCGGGCGAAACATGCGACGGTCTTGCCGGAAAGGTCATCTGATGATTGTTGCGTTAACAATTATAATTTGCGGCGTTGGACGTGATGCTTGTTAATGAAAAGAGCCCCTGAAAGGCGTCGGTGAAATCGTTCCCAATTTTGGGTACGCCGTTCCCATAATAAGGAACGCTTGCAGCGCCAGTGTACGAGAGCGTTCCCAAATTTGGGCTCGCGGCCCGGATGATGGACTGCTTTACAAATAGGGGAAAGATTTGAAACTACGATGGGCCTTACAATATCAAACTCTTTCTCAACAATATTGAGACAAATATCAGGTGGTTCACGATCGTTTTATATTTTTTGGACGTCATTTAACGGTTCTTTTTCTTGTTTTAAATAATGCCTACATGGCGTTCCCATATTTGGGTTTATCGTTCCCAAACATGGGAACGAAAATGCGTTCCCGAAAATGGGTACGCTTGACCATAGTTCCGCCTACTGATATAAACATTTTTGGGCAAACAGTTATGTAAACATAGTTGTTTTGATATTATTTTAATAAAGTGTACTGTGTAAAACATTTTTTCTCCTTAATCATTTCAGCTACTTGAGGCATTGTACCCTTTGTTTTGCCCCTACACAGGCATGTGTTCAATACTTCTTACTTACACTTCTGCTGTCAACCAACCATTCTGCTGAAATATTTATCACCTGCATACCAGACCTGACTACTTGCTGTTGTTCAACATGCCACAGTGCTTGCACAGAAACTTGTCTATAATTTCTATCATCCAGAAACACCCTAAAAACAGAAATGCACTTGAATGCAAAATTTGGCCAAGTGTACTAGTAATGTTGGGCCATTCTGAGTCTGGTGCAGCTTGGCTCAGTGCCACGCTTCCTGCAGATCCCCCATCTCCTGACTGACCGCTCCCATGTCCGACCGATCGCCTTGGGCGGCGCAGCACGCGCCTGTCCATGGGCGGCGCGCTGGACCTTAGACACGCGGTGCGGCGCACACTGGCCGTCCTCGCGCCGTCGCGGTGCGACATAGTGCGGTTCCTGGGCGAGCGGCGCCTGCGGCTCAGTCCAGCCGCCAGGTGGGTCGGCCCGCCACCGCCTAACGCACGTGACGTGGCGGGGCACGTGGTAGGCTGTCCGCTGTCGGCGAACAGCGCGGTGTGGGTCTGAATACTCCTCTCCTCGTGTGTACCCAGTACCCACGCTGCCCTCACCCCAGGCATTGAGAAACATCGAATCGCACTGCACCGGACCTATCGAACCCGGCACCCTGCCTGCTGCCCACACGCCCCCTCCCCGGTGCCTGCGGTGCGCGCGCGCGAGGCCGTCCGTGCGCCGTCTGAGACCGGCTCTCCGCAGGACGCGGCGAGCCATGAGCGGTGCGATGGAGTTCCGCGAGGCGCTGCGGCTGCGGCTGGAGCTGCTGCGACCGTCGCACGCGGACGTGAGCCGCTTCACGAGCCAGCTGCCGCTGAACGTCTCCCCAGGTATTAGGTGAAGTACCCGCCCGCCTCTCCGCATGCCGGCGGCAAGTCGCCCGCTCCGGCCACCGGCAGACACTGGCTGTCTGACCGTCACTGACATGACGCACATATATCTGGGCGGTGTCGATGGTGGAGGGTGTTTTAGAATGTTAGGTGGATGACGCATGCGTACGACAACTTGTTATTTTTTATTCCTATTGAGTTAACGAGCGTCTGAGTGTATTTTGTGAGAAGTTCATATCATAAATTTATGCTCAACAATCTGAGCTAATGATAGGATTTTTGCCATGTTATCGTTCGAGCCCTAACAGTTGACAATGCCGGCAGCGAGCATCCAATGCCCGCCCTCCGGTTCGCGCCTTTCATGTCTTTTTATGACCTGCCGCCAGTGAGCTCGTACAGAAGCTGCACAGTCGCGGGGTGAAGGTGTTCCTCGTCTCCGGCGGCTTTCACTGTCTGATCCGACCCATCGCCGCGGCTCTCAACATCCCCGCAGAGAACATCACCGCCAACAAACTGCTGTTCGACTTCTTCGGTAGGTGCCGTCACCAGGGCATACCGACGTCGAGGGTTTGCCCTGGGCAGATGCCGGCTGTAATTGCGAGTTTGAAATTTCAGCGTGCCTGACACCACAACTTGAGCGGTGAAAAGTTTTGCTTTCGCTTAAAAAGTGTCTAAGCATTTGTTTTGATTCGTGAAGTGATTTTTTTTAACCAAACATTATCGAGCCTAGTTCCTACGGCGACTTCCTCGTCAGTCGTCTAATAGTTTGTTTTATTCGTTTTGTTGGGAGCAATCTCTTCGGGCTGAGAAGTCAACAAAGATATGGGGTATAATTGTACTATGCGGAGTGCGGACCACCGATGGTGCGCCGCAGCGGCAGACCGTCTAGGTGGGACAGGAATGTCCCAATGAGACAGCTCGCCCTGACCCTCAAACGTTTACCTCACAGGGTTTAGCGAAACGATGATTTAACCTTACCACCGGCTGTCTGGTGAGATGACCGCTAGCCCGGAATAGGGAGGGGGATGCGAATGGGTTTGTCATGTGGAAGGCAAGGGCGGATGAATGTGTTGGAGAAATGTCCCGCTGTTCAGCCCAGCTCGGAATGCTCTGCAATTATCACACAGCTGCTGTCAATTACCCACCCATTCTAACCCCACTGTTCCCAACTCCGGGGGCGGCGATGCTCACCAGCTGGCGTTCATTATCGCTGATCGTCTCTGGCTCCTCCATGCAGGGAACTACGCCGGCTTCGACGAGTCGCAGCCGACGTCGGCGTCCGGCGGCAAGGCCAGAGCCCTCCAGCGGCTGATCGATGAACACAAGCTTCGGTGTTTAGCCATGGTCGGAGATGGCGCCACCGATCTGGAAGCGGCGCCGCCCGCCCACGTATTTATCGGTGAGCCTGGCGGGCAAAGTTGCAAGATTAATGGGATTCAGCAAAGTTGCGATATGGTTATTGAGCAGATGTGTCTATTTCCCCCGTATCATACACACACATCGAAGTGTTCCGCTCAGTGTGCGGAAAGTTTAACGGTCATGACCTCATCTTGTCTCTCCTCTGCCAGGGTACGGCGGTAACGTGGTGCGCCCCAAGGTGCAGGAGGCCGCCCCCTGGTTCGTGCACCACTTCCAGGAGCTGATCGACGCTCTGTCAGAGTCGGGCTGATGGTACATGCCGTCTTCACCGTGAGATTTCGGCGCACCGCGCCAGTGATATGGATGCAATATGACGTAGATAGAACGGAATCTCGAATTGGTCGAGTGGGTATGTTCGGAGAAGAATCATTCTACATTTTGCGTTTATTACGACGCAATGGGAAGTATTTTTGGAGGTGACTGTTACTGGGTAGAGGGTTTTATCATTTAGCCAGGTTGTATTCACGCGTGTATTGTGGTTTGGGATGGGATGACCGTACCGGATATGGACGTAGGAGACTGTGCGGCATTGGCAACCTCGGTCCATGTGATGTTATTATATCGCGACGATGTTGGGCAGATTTTCTGTTGATTATTTTAACCAGCTCTAACTGCTAACGCCTGTTCGTACCCAGTAGTTTTTTTTTTTTGCAGCTATTTTTGCTCACGCGTTGTCGCCTCAAAGAACTCGCGACACCGTGCACGTTTGTGATTGTGATGCGCTGTCGCGGTTTGAGTCTACTATATACCGTGGGTTTATGGTGAGTGTTTGCCATATCACCTCAGGGCAATATAAGGGCAATACAGGTTATGCTATGAGTCAAGGAAGCTCCGGTCGCGTCTCTCGTGGGATCTGCGAGAAGGAATGATAGAGTGGTTCCGGTGATTGAAACTTGACAGCCCCTCCGCAAACCGCTCAATTTTTGCGATGATATAACGAGTAATGATCAATCTGAGGCTAATAATGCTGCAGAAAGGTGTTCGAGTATGAGGACGGACGTTTAACCACTTGGGCCTACCCAACACCTACTCAGGATAGCCCGGATACCGGTAACCCAACCATCCATGACCCAACTGGGCGAAACAATGTATGTTGGCTTCTGCACCCATAAGTGGTCGGTGGATTATGGTTGCTGACAATAAAAATAAAATAAAGCCGAATCTCACACCTTCTGGTTCATGCACGAGCTTTGAGCACGAGATTGCTCAATGTCGAGGACCGGTAGTTACGACTTACGCATTCGCATTTCAAGCGTTTTTTTTTTTGCTTACAGTAAGTGGTACAATCGTTACGTAACCAACAAACACAAGGCCCTATAGGCTATATACCACCAAACACACGCGCCTGCACACCATATAGCCCATTTACCGTTTCCGTCCAGCACATTCATTTTGTCATTCGCATTTCTTACTTACCGTCGCGCATTCCACCACGGCCTTTCTCTCTTCTCTCTTTCATTTGTTTGTCACGTGTTTTCATGCGGCGTGCGGTCACGCGAATGCGGCATATTGTGGCGCAGATCAATGTGCTTGAGGCCGGCGAGTTGCCTGCGGGTCTTTTCACGGCGTTGACCGCGGTAGATGGGTGGCGATCCGCCCCCTTTTCTTTTAAACGCCTTTTTTGAAAGTTTTCTTTCTATTTGCCTTTTGGAACTGTGTCTGCTGCTCTTCGAGAACCGGTTGTTTTATTAATGTGTCAATGTGTTTTCCATAAAGGTGTTTTCCCTATAGGTCCCCAGCTTGATAATTGTCTCAGCTGCCCAATCATAATTGTAATATGCACACACCTGCATGTGGACACCTGCATGAGACTTTGAAGACTTGAAGACTGCTCTGGTGACCTCTGGACTGGATGGGAGTGAGCTGCACGCACTGCACGGCTCTTCTCACCTGGGAGGGAGTACTTGCCAGTCCATGCATGCCGGTCCTGTTCACCTGGGTCTGCAATAACCTTGCCATTTATATTTTATGAGGTCCATTGTCTTCCCCCTGTTCAATGTTGCATGCCAGCTAGTGGTGATCGGCTTCTGCTGCACATATGCCTGATAAGCTAGACTGAGCACAACACTTCAACCATCTAGTCCACAAATTCTGTTTGTCACAAACCAAGACATACCTACCTGCTACCACTAAAATGCCTGTGATCAGGTCGCCGCCACAGACTCCTCCCCCGCATAAACATAACACCAGAAACAAGTCGAGACAATCTGACACCACTCATCAAGATGCACCAGAAATACAAGCACACACCTCCAGCCCCAAGATCGAAGGGCAAGTTGCTGCAGCCATCCACGCCCTCCCCATCGATGTCGGGGTAGCAGTATCTCCCACTATCATCATCACACAATGCCAGTCTTCGAATGTCTGCAAGGGAGGTCCAGGCTACCCCATGTGCAACTTGGAAGTGAAAGATGGCCAACAGGGAGTGCAGTGCGACCTGTGCCTAAACTGGTACCATGCCTTCTGTCAAGATATTCCAAAAGGGGGTTACAATGCCCTAAAGAAGTACTCTGATGTGGTGTCTTTTATTTGCAGTGCATGCAAGAAGATTCCCGACCTGGCGAAGCTCACGCCTAAAACAGCTCAGTGTGATGCAGTCACACAAACCAACTCTGAACAAGTGCGGAGTGAAGTGCGCTCGAACTCAACTATGACTGAATCATCTCTAACCAACCCAGCATTGGATCAGGGTAACCCGGACCCAAGGGCCTTGAACGCAGAAGCTCTGAATGCCCTTGCCTCCAAGATCAGCAACATAGAAAAAACTATTCACGAGCATGTGATCTCTCTGTCAGGCTTCCACCAAGCAAGCAACCCAAGCAACGGGAACCCATCTTCTTCAAGAGCAAGTGTGAACACGAAGGAAACCTATGCAAAGGCTCTAACTGGAACCTCCACTCAGAGCACTTCAGTGATGGGCTATGTGCCAAACCAAACGGGCCCTGGAACCCAAGCAAGTGCTGGCCACTCACAAGACTACCGCATGATGGTCCGTGAAGAGCTTCTCGAGCTAGAAGAGCGCAAGAAAAGGCGGTCCTCCGTCGTGATCCGTGGGTTGAGAGCAGGGTCTCCGAGTGAAGCTGCATCTAGATTCGGAGAAATCACACAGTTTTTGATATCAGAAAAAGTGACACTGTCAGACATCTGCCGGATCAAGAATGATGCGGATTTGTACAGAGGCAACATCCACAGCTCTAGACAAAGAAGACTCATTCTGGAACAAGCAAAGGACCTGAAAAACTCTCAATTCTCACACGTTTATATCAAACGGGACCTCACGTACATGCAGCGCATGCAGCTCCAGACAAGATACCAGCAACGCCAAAGAGAGCACACCACCAGTCAGCACCGCAGTACTGAAGTATCCCAGGCCGAGGGGACAGCCAGCGCTCCTGGAAGGAGGTCAGCGGAGAACACAAGCTCACCAGAAGTACAAGCTTCAACACCGCCAGGGAGCGGCCCCCCTCGGTCACTTCCGTCAACCGAGGCTCACGATCCTCCTCAAAGTGAGATCGCGCTCGGGCAGCCCGGTGCACCTCGCCAGCCCTCAGACATAGCCGGCGAACCCGTCACTCAGGCTCCTCTGCAGCGGGTTACCGAGACGTCACCACTCCAGCCTGCCCCACCGCCTGGTCCCGACCCAACGCGCCCGGGCAATGGAAGCTCGGGAAACGGAGGGCGCTAGGAAAGACTGAACATTCGTTTGCTATCACATTTACTCATTGCAACATGAACGGCTTATGTGGCAAACTACTGAGCTTACAAGATAGTGTTCTCCGTCCATGCTCAACAGACATACTGCTTGTCTCAGAGACTCATCTAACAGAAATCATAAGCAACGCATCCATTCATCTCTCTGGCTACACTGTCTTGCGCAATGACGGCGGATCATCTAGTACTCACGGAGTATGCGCGTTCATAGCTGAACACATACATTTCGATCAGGTGGACACATCATTCAAGAATGTTCTTTCATTTCGTCTGACGAAGTTCAACGTCTTTGTATACGTGATCTACAGACCTCCCTCACTCACAGCAGCTGAAAACAACTTACTGATCTCATTTCTCCAAGAGAGCTGCTTGGGGAGGGAATCAATTCTTCTTGGTGACTTCAACCTGCCGTCACTGAACTGGTCATCACCTGAGGGCATGCTAGGGGAGGGAACAGCGTCAGACATCCGCTTTTTGGACCTGTTTGACTCTCTTGGCATGACGCAGTGGATCACCGAGGCTACTTTCCCCCGCTCTGGTAATATACTGGATCTCATCTTCACCACCGAGCAGGACAGAATTGGAGAAGTTTCGGTTCTCCCTCCACCTCCCGGAAGTGACCACTGCACCATTCTCTGTCGCTATATCTTCGACATCGACTTGCAGGAACGACCCACCTGTCCGGCCCCTCTCCTGGCTTGGCATAGAGGAAAGTATGATAAAATAAACAGTGCCCTCGCCGATGTTGATTGGGAGGTAGAACTTCGGTATTTATCAGCCCAACAGGCATTTGAGCATCTGCTGGGAATAGTGACTTCGTTGATCAAGAGGTATGTTCCCACCAGGAAACAAGGTTCCCAGTCCAAGAAGCTGCCTTGGAAGAGAAACCCCCCAAGCTCACTCAAGCAAAAACGGTCATCGGCATGGGCGGCCTACAAGAAAGCCAGAGAAAACTACGGCAGGAGAGCAGCAATCACCAAGTCTTTACTTACTTCATTCCAAGAAGTGAACAAGGAGCTACGCAGCTTTGCCTCGCGCTCTCAAATCGACTATGAGAAGTCACTGGTGAGTAAAATGAAAGACAGCCCGAAGCTCCTGCACTCTTACCTGCGCCACAAGAAGCAGTACCGTTCTTCGGCAGGTCCTCTGAAGGCTCCCTCTGGAGCAATCACAGACGACCCGAGCTCGATGGCGGATATCTTCGTGAACGCTTTCGCAAGCGTTTTCTCGTCTGAGGTTCCGCGAAACCCCTTCACTCATCAGCTCTGCGACTCTGTGCTGGCAGAAATCGCTTTCACTCAAGCTGATGTTGAAGCAGTTCTTCGCCATCTGGATCCCAACTCAGCAATGGGCCCAGACGCCTTCCATCCACAACTATTGAAGGCGTGTTGTTCGACCTTGTCATACCCACTGTACCTCATCTTCTGTCGAACATTGTCAACGGGCTCCTTGCCGCTGATGTGGAAACTCTCACACGTGGTACCAATATTCAAGAAAGGCTGTCGCTCGGACCCATTGAATTATCGTCCCGTTAGCCTCCTGTCAGTACCCGCCAAATGTCTTGAACGGCTCATTTTTCAAAGACTGCACTCGTACCTGATGGACAACTCTGTTCTTGATGACGCGCAATTCGGATTCAGGCCCGGACGCTCCACCGAGGATCAACTTCTCCTCACGTACGATTTCATCTGTAAGCAGAGAGACAGTGGGCATGTAATTGATTTAATCCTGTATGACTTTTCTAAGGCTTTCGACATGGTGTGTCATTCGATACTCCTTCAAAAACTGCGCTGCATTGGGATTCGTGGCGAGCTCCTGACTTGGATTCAGGACTTTCTGACCGGCCGCATCATGCAAGTCGTGGTGAAACACTCACTGAGTTCACCAATGGAGGTGAAGAGCGGCGTTCCGCAGGGGTCCATACTCGGACCAGCCCTCTTTCTGATTTTTATCAACCATGTCGCGTCCCGCCTACACGCCGCCTACAAGATATTCGCAGATGACTTGAAAGTCTACATGTGCATCTCTGACTCAGGGTCCCATGCAACCAAGTTCCAGGAAGATATAGATCTCCTTCAAGAGACCGCAGCATCCTGGGGTCTGAGCCTAAATCAAAAGAAGTGTGCGGTCATGAGATTCCAGCGCAGGTTCCACACGTTAACGAGACCAGAGTATCACCTCGATGGATCAGTAGTTCGATGGGCTCGTTCCCATTTGGATCTTGGTGTCACGATCGATGACGATCTAAAGTTTCACGAGCACGCAAGAGTCGCTGCTAGGAAGGCTGGAGGCATAGCTCACAACTTCTTGAAATCGACACTGTGCAGGGAGCGCGACTTCATGACGCACGTCTTTGTGACACATATTCGCCCCATCATTGAGTACGCCTCGACAGTCTGGAACACAGGCTACATTGAAGACGTCCGACGGCTTGAAGCGGTGCAGAGGCTCTGGACACGTCACATCAAAGGCCTAGAACACAAAACATACGAGGAGCGTCTCAAGGTACTGGATTTATACTCGATCAAAGGCAGACTTCTCCGTGCAGACCTTATCAAGACCTGGAAAATCTTCCACGGCCTGTCTCCTATCAAGCCGTTGGACCTATGGGACATGGCTCCAGCCGGTCGCACACGTGGCAACACCCTCAAAATCAAGGTCCAGAGGCGCCAGCTCGACTCGACAAAGCGGTACTTCACGGACAGGATCGTGAAGGACTGGAATGCACTACCCAACTCGACTGTCACGATGAACTCTCTGGCGGAATTCAAGTCATCCCTGGCAGGAATACTTGGCGACAGGCTCTATGAGTACCTCGCCTGAGGACGTGAAGAAATGAAGTACCTGCCCGAGGACAAGCCCTTGGACCGCTAAGAACCACACTGCACAGTGCACACACTTCACTGTCAAAACGACCCATCTACTCATACATGCTTCTATGCAGACGCACTTTTCCGACCCCCACGAGTCCTTCTCCTAAGAAACATCTAACGTGGGGCGTTGGCGCGTCTCTACCATACACGGTTTCCTTCCCCCTTCCAATTCCATTGGACCGGGCAGGGAAACCAAACAGGTGAGTTAAACAGGTGAGTTAATCGCAAGAGTGCGACACGCTGCTGGTGCCCACTGCCCTGATTTCTGCCTACAATTGATGGCAAGAATCACTGCAACTAAAGATGAAGCATGCAATGGTACCAGCCGGCAGGAGGATGCGGCTGGAGATATTCTGAATGAAAAGGGCACCACAAATCCCAGCAATGGGCTTGGTAAGTGGTAGGTATAAGTTAGGCAACAACTTAGCGGCTTGCGGGTGTCTAACCTTAACTACAACCTACAACCTTAAAGGGACCCTCCCACCTTCAAAAAAGTTTATGAATTGGCATGAAAGTGATGTCGCTCGGTTCAGAAAGAGCGAAAACGAATATCTACCAAATTTCACCGAAAAATATTCACCAGTTTTCAAGATATTTGACTTATACTTTTGTTTACTTTTTTGGGATCTCCGCTGTTTCTAGCGACTTTATTTTAGAAGTGCGGCGTTTGCGGCAGATGTTGCGCGCAAATAGCATATACCACCGCGTGCTACAAAACGTTTTAGTCAAACATTTAAAAATCGTTAGATATTTGCGCTGACGTCACACATTCAGAGGGGTATTCCTAAGCATTAGCCCCTCTGAATCAAAATGCTGCAATTTTGAAATTCAATATTTCCGATTTAAGGCATTTCTTGATGTTGTGAGTGCGGAAACCGGTAATTGTGAGCCAGGGACCCCATTTTGGCTATTTCAACTCAAATCTAATGTAAAGGTGGGAGGGTCCCTTTAAACCTGCCACCTACAACCTAAAACCTATAGCCTACAACCCAACCTACAGTGGCTCTCCGTGGGTGCAATAAAAAAATGTGTTCTGCTTTACTTCTACCGAGTTGCATAACAATTGTCTGACTTTTTTCAACAGTCACAAGCCACATTTTTTTCCTATAGCAACTAGTACCTACTACTTGAATCATGTGAGATGTTTCATGGTTTATTTTGACCTTTTTTAGTCTTATGATAAGTCCCATTCTGGTTTCTGTATTGTCTACCCTCAATGAGAAGATGTCTGTTGTTATTTTTATTTTATTGAGTTGGTCAAGGTGGTGTGTTAAGACAGTCAGGCCAAGACAAATTGATTGGTATTCAATCATTATCATTGCTAATTGTAATCAAGGGTTTGCTAATTGCTGCAATGCAAAATAATCAGTGGATTGACCTCAACATTTGATGTTTCTAGGCTAGTTGCTGATGCATACCTACACATTACACAGTACACTTTTAGCACTTATACCTTTTGAAGTTAACCCGCGCACCGACGGGGGTCTGCGCCAACTTAGTACCGACGGGGGGGGGGGCGGATGACCGCCCCCCCTGAGATCTCGAGAACGAAGCAAGATAGCGACAAGCGGTAAACGGCATCGGATACGCACGGTCAAGATCTACAATTTTTACTAAGGTCATTTTCAGGTCAGGTCAAAGATGACGTCACAGGGGTCGAAAAAGTCAAAATGGCGGCGCTAAATATGGAGAGAGTTTTTCTCGAATAACTTTCGAATTAGTCAAGATAGGAACAAACTAAGGGCATCATCGTGATCCTCTCGTCAATCCGCATCGAATGATATATATGTTGACCTCGAAAGGTCAAGGTCAAAGGTTGACCTCAGGTCACGTGACCTCGAGGTCATCATGTATATCATTCGATGCGTCTTGACGAGCTGAACACAATGAGACCATCCACGCGTCTGTATCTTGTTCCTGTACGGAGTTATTGGCCAAAAACCTTTGGTGACCTTTGATGACGTCACATGACCTCACAGCTGCCCAACAGCAAAACAGACCTCAAGGTAGTGAAGGTTGATCGTATATGAAGTCATGTATGGTATATGGGGCCATTCCGACCCGTTTTAGTGGTAAAAACAGGGAGTTGATTTTTCCCCCATTGACTTATAATGGGGAGGTCGCGAAATTGACCTGACCTTAGGTCACCGATATCAAAATTCCGAGATATACAAATTGTAGCTACTAATGACCTAATAACATCCTGCGACTTTCAAAGGCCTCCGACATCTACTGTAGCTCTGGCACGGTGACAAAGTTGCAAAAAAGTGACTTGAGGTTGGGTCATTCAAAGTGACCTGGTGACCTGACCTTGAAAGGTAGGAGGTTCAAACTTGCACACCATGTGTAAAATTGATAAGGGAATAGTCATACCAAATTTCGCGGCGCTACGCGCCGCGGTTTTCCCGCTATTCGCGAAAAACCTCAGGGGGGGGCGGATATCCGCCCCCCCCCCGTCGGTGCGCGGGTTAATAATGTAAGCTCTTCTGGTCAGTATCTATGTTGCCAGATGGATTGGTCTGGTGTTATTTTGGCAGGGAACACAAGATTGCACTAATGACAAGTGTAAGTTGCAGCTCACTGCTCATTAAATCATGCCATCACACTCACAGGCACAATTTAAATTGTAAAATTTTTACGATAATGCGAATAACTTGGCTATTTTTGAAGATATTGGGCTAAAACTTGCAAATTTAGTTCATCAGTGTGTGTTCTATCACATATATTCCGGTTTTTGCAAAAAGTCGAAAACTTTTTGAAAAAAAAAATCAAAAAATATATTTTTGCAATTCTAAATGAATATTTTTCAAAATTTTCAAAATTTCGAAAATTCGAGATGGCAGTTCGATAGCTACGTGTATTTGTAGTCCACTCATGCAAAGAAAACGGATCTAGCTTTAAAACTGAGCTCTTGAGAGCGTTTGCCGTATTTCAGTATTTTGCATGAAAATCGGCTGACATGACGTCACTCTGACGTCATTTTCAGCTTAACTATAGTAGCTAGAAAGTTGAAATTTTAACCCAAAATGTCAAATTGATGCCTCTGAGGGTACCGCAAGTTTCGTGTTGATACGTCAAACGGTTTAGAAGATATTGCTGAAAAACATGAGGGGGGCTCTGTAGAGCCCCCCCCCCCAGTCATGCGCGGGTTAACCCTCGCATGTGTGCGGCGTTTGCCAGCTTCTAATGTGTAGGGGGGGGGGGTCGTTGGACCCCCCCTTGCCGTTTCGCCCCTGATCGAGCTAGAGCTTCGCGAAAAAAAAACGAGCGTGTTGCCCGTGACGAGAGGAAGCCGATGATAGCCAATTTTAAAGGGACTATCCCACCTTTAACATGGGGTTTGAGTTGAGATAGCCAAGTTTGCGGCGAGGTTCAGAAACCACTATCTATCTAGGTTGCAACCCCCGCGGCCTCTTGGTGTTGAAGAAATTCGTTCCCTTCATTTGAAAATGGGCCTTGTGCAAGGCCCTATCTTCAACATGGAGCGACCGTTAGTGTGACGTCACCTCGTTTAGTCATTCTGATTTAAATGGGTTTGTTCGTTGAAAAATCGCTTAAAACTTGGTCTGAACTTTGTTGTGGTGCCTACAGAGTAAAAAGAATCAGCTTTATGACAGTAATGTGGCCTGGGGAAGGAGGTAATTTTGGGCTGTGACGTCACATATTTGAAAGTTTGTGTTTGGAATATGGGAAGCCTAAGATGTTTAATGAAAAATAAATGCCAGAACCGTGTTCCTGGTCATCCAATCTATAAAGTCGGGCACAATTTAACTGGTTTTAACAACATTTTAGAAGGTGGGATAGTCCCTTTAACCCGCGAGTTGCTGGGGGGGGGGCGTTAAACGCCCCCACTTTTTTCGCCGGGCCGTAGCATAAAAACGGCGCGCCGCAGGCGCGCCAAATTTTGGGTACCTGTAGGGAATTGATTGAAGTTTATTGTGACAAAGTTTCAAAAAAATCGGTCGGAAAATTTTTGAGATATCGAGGTTTTAGTGACGTCATGATTTCTGAGTTTTCGACCAAAAACGGCATATGTTCAAAAAATCATATAAAATCACAGAATAGACATACAGACATGCCGTAAACGCCATTAGACTGCCAATACCATGATCAATCAAATGGTTATCTTCGATTATTGATTATCGTTCCGCATTTTCCAAAATCTTGAACTGAATCTTGACAATTTTTCGTGACTACTTCACGACCATGATACATGAATTTCTTAAATTGAACTTTTTGAGCCAAACACGTACACATATGATAAAATGAATGTCACCATCGTGTTCTACGCCCCAAATTACCTATAAAACATGTGTCACAGGCTGCGAATATCAGTTTTGATTTTCGGGGATATGTGCCTACCCGGTTGACCTGACCTTGACCCTGACCTATGCTTGACTGACCCCTATATGGAGCTGACACTCTTGTAGGCCTTATAGGGTGGATTGTGCACCGTTTTGACAGAGTTTATGGCGAGAGGCGCCCATTGCGAAGTCCTGAAGTCCATGCTACTGAAAGCCCGATTTCAGGTGTTTGACCTGACCTTGCCCCACCTGTGACCTCAAAATTCAACTTTAAAGTACTCATCTGAAGCGTCTCGTCGCGCTCTTTCGTTTGCCGCCTCGTGCGTTTCGCTGCGTCAATTGGTTCTCGAGTTATCGGCTGGGGGCGTTTAACGCCCCCCCCCCAGCAAACGGTGGGTGGCGAAATACCCCAGCAACTGCCGGGTTAAGGTCCTAGGTCATTGGTTGACCTTTCGTCAGGTCAATGACCCAAAAGTCGGGAAAATCGGGACTTGTTAGAAAGCCGTAAAGTGTGGCTGTTATGGGTTTTTTCGGGGTGCTGATCACGAATATCGTGTTAGTTTTGATCACAGATGATGTCTTTAACCCTCGCCCTGGCAGGGCCTTTTTCATAACACGGCCTGGCAGGGGGGGGGGGGGTCGATGCGATCCCCCCCCTCGCGATTGGCTCCTATGGCACCTAGAAACACCAAATTTGGTATGTAGGTGGGCCCCATGGAGTTCTCGCCCCTATGCAAATTTGGCTGTTCTAGGTCAATATTTAGGGGGTTTTTGGGGGGTATAAATGTAAAAATTTCGCTAAAAACAGGTCAAAAGTTTTTCGCTTATAACTTTTGATCTAATTAAGATAGAACAAAAAGAAAAGCACCAGTGAACTCAGCACGTCAAGGCGCGTCGAATGATATACTTTTTAGCTTGCATAAGTGTACTTAAAGTTTTTCTTAATTTTTAAGTAAACTTTAATTAACTAATTAAGTTCAAATTAACCAAATTGCATCATATCGCATATCATTCGATTCGGCTGATCACCAGGAACACAATGACACCATTTTTTAAGCTCTAGCGTCATTATGTGCCAAGTTATTGGAA